TGTGACCTCTGCTAATTTAAAATTCTCCAAGTTCCTTAAGATTTCAGCTGAATGCAGGGAGGTTTATGAGCTAGGGTGTTGAGGGGGACCTCGAAGACCTTGCCACACAGGGGTCCACTGCAATGGTGCTTACTCCTTTTGGTCCTCAGTCCCTGGTGGTCCTTCAGGACTGGTCACTGTCTTGGTATTCTCTTGTCTTACTTAGGCACACAGATATATCCCTGCTGCTTCCCAGGTTCTCTGTAGGACACTTGCCCAGCTGCACCAGGTCACATTCTCCACCAACTTCACATACCCCTTCTAGGGCTCAGTCCAACAAGCTGCTGTGGGTGCCTAACTCTGCAACTCTGGCATTTCACCCCTGCTACTTCACCCCACCCCCATGTCTAGAGCACCATTTCCTAGTCTAGGGGGAATAAGATCCCCATCTTGTAGTCAACTGGTACTAATAAGAGGCTAGGCATACTGCAGATGTTTTAAAAATGGGTGCCAATCGTAATGGCTATGTTGTTGGACTCCCATGTAGTCAACCGTAGTTCAAGTCCCAGGCCCGGTAGCTTAAACTCACGCCGGGCGCGTGTGCATGCGTGCCCAAGATCCTGAAGGGAGAATGGAAGAGAAGGGATTGCAGTGTGGCCATCCCCCCTGGGGGGTGATTTCTTGCTTTCTCTCTCTCTGTTTCTCTCTTTCTGGTGAGTGCACATGCCCTATAGCAAAAACCTCTCAAAAAAAAAAGGGGGGGGGGTGGTGCTAATCGCCAATCTACCCTCAAGAATCCAAAATCATTCTTGCAAACATTTCAAGAGAGGTTTTCATGGAAGAAAGTATGCTTTTTTTTTTTCCCTCTTCCTCATGTTCCTAAATGTTTAGGCTTCTGAAAAAAAAAATACATCTTGGGGAAAAAACTCAGCCTGAGGCCCCTTCTCTACTCACTGCCATAACTCTCTGTAACCTTGAGCACAATGCTAGAGAGATGTTTAAATGGAAGGAAGATGAGAAAAATACTAAAAAGAAAGAAAGAGAGAAAGAAAGAAATAAAGGGAAGAGAACAGAGGCTAAGATCTCAGAAATGCTATTGCACCACTTAAGGATTAAATAAAATAGCACATGAAAGAACTTGCTATGTTTAAAAGACCTACTAAATGATAGTTATTTTTCCCCCTCTGACCCAGTGGGCACATTGTCTACAGCACCTGTTTGGAAATTAATCATGTACCACCTGGGAACATCTATTACACTGGCAATTTAATCTCATATTTTTATCTTACTTTCCCAGTGTCTATAGTTTATTCTCCCAACTCAATGTAAGCTCCTAAAAAGCATAGTCCACATCTTATAATTAACTGAACCTAGCAGAAAGGCATATAGCCTATGCTTCAAAAAAAGGGTGCAAGATCTAGCGTCAAGAATCCAAAATCACATTTGCAAACATTTTATAAAGGTAGAAGAAACTAGGCTATTTTTTTCTTAAAATGATTCATGAATGTTTATGTCTAAATGTTAACAGGAGAGATACTGTCTCTATATATATGTATATATATATATATATATAGAGAGAGAGAGAGAGAGATGTATAGATATATCTACATCAACCACCCCTGAGTAAATACACTTCAAATTTTAAGCTGGCCTCCTATTGGAAAATGCTAATAGAATCCATTTCCGTGAGCTTCATCACTAAGTGCATCACACGTAAGAGATTTCTTGAGTCAAAACATAGAACATGAATGCATTTTGATGATGGGAAATAGCATGTAAACTACTGTCTCAGCATGTCAGAGAGTCACAAAATTTGGCCTGTGAGGATGGCACTGCCGAGTGAGCAGTTAAGGAAAGCCCAGAGGTGGATCACAGCAGTCTTCCTCTAGTCTCAGTCTGGACTGAGCTGACTGGCACCACCAGGACACCGTAGCTGGTAGATGGATGTACCGTAGGGACGTACTTGGCCACTTACTAGGCCTAAGTTTTTTTTATCTGTAACTATAGAATGAGTACCTGTCTCCCAGGGGTTTCATGAAGAGCTAATGAGATGATGTATACTGAGAAATTCGTATGGTGCTGGGTAAATATTGCATGCTAGTAAATGATATAGGTTGTTGGACCTGCTGCTCCAAGGAATGGAGGAAGCAGGAAAGAGATGAACAACTGGATGCCCTGGAGAGCAGCAGCTCCACCATTCCCACTCTCCTTCCTGCAGGTCAACATAGATACCCCTTCACTAGGGCAGGACATGCTAAGCTTGGTGGAGCACATTATCCAAGGGGAGTTTGAGGTCTAGATCACAGGGTCCCAAATTAGGTCCCCCATATCCATGGGACACCTCAGGTCATTCCTCCAAGTCAAACCTGTGTAGAGTTTCCTGTGAATGGAGCACTTCAAGAGAGACTTTTTCTATTTCCAAAGTGAAGGTGCTTTAGGTAGCAAGTAATAACACTATGAGTCAAAATGACTTAAGCCTTCTGTATGAGTGGCTCCCACAGTGCAGACCAGAGGGAAGGTCCTCCAGAATCTGCTCAGCCCTCCTCTGGGTGGTGCCATTTTTGTCCTTCAACTGCTGACAAGATAGCTACACAGCCCTTGACCTTCTATCTACACTCTCCAAGGAAAGAAAGCAAGAGTTTGTTCCAGAAACTTTCTGAAGAGAAAAAAAAAGAAACTTTTATTTTTGGTAGAGGGTGGTAATCAACTGCTCTTCTCATGACACTGGCCTAAATTTGGCCTCATGATTACTTCTGGACCACTTCTCGTAGCTTATCAAATGCCAGGTGCTGATCAGCTTTAGCTAGGTACTGGATTCCAGGTGTACTCCTGAGTCAATAGCTGAAACAATAGAAATAGCATAACGTAGTTAGCTTATACGAGAGTCCATCCCTGGAGCTCAGATCAACCCTGCAAAGTTCAGGTCTACTTTTGCAGGGGGAAGGAATGAGATGGATGCTGGAGAGACAGCCACAATGCCCACCACTGTGCTAGTCTTCAACTCCTCATCTCCTTTAATTCTTCCGAAAATTATAAAATGGTTTTTCTCTGCCAGGCATGGTACAAAATGCAAGGAGGACATGAAAGGCCTTGGATTGGGAGAAATAATTAACCCTTTAGGTGCACGGTGCCTGGCACAGCACTCAGCCTCCAATATTGCCATCATTAAAATAATCATTAAAATAAATGCTACAGTGGTTCGAGCTCTTATCCAGGACAGAGAGAGTTTAATAAATTATAACAGTGTATAAAGAGTACCAAGATAAACCTATGGTGGTATCAAGGAGAGAGGCCACATAAGAAATATGGGGACAGCAGATGCATAGTAGTTACCTCACTGGACTCCCACATGGTTGACTGTGGTTCGAGGCCCAGACCCGGCAGTTTGAAACTCACACCAGGTGCATGTGCATGTGCGCCCAAAACATCCTGAGAGCAGAGTGTTGGAGAAGTGATTGCAGCACGGCCATCCCCACCAGGGGGTGATTTCTTGCCTTCTGTCTCTGTCTCTCTGGCAAGCATACATGCCCTATAGCAAAACACTTTCTGAAAAACAAAGATATACCCAAAAGATCCAACCTCAAGGAACTGGTAGCCTAGTGGTTGTTAACCTTGACTTCACATTTAATTCACCTGAGAAGACTTCAAATTTCCCTGTGCCAATCCAGTCAGAATACCTGGGAGTTACCAGGTTGTTTTTATAAAGATTCTCTAGATGATCAGAATATGTAGCCAAGGTTAAGAACCACCATTTTAGCAGTTGCAGACATGAAACACACATGTGAGCCATTAGCTAATGGTATCAGGTAGTAAGGATACATTACATGAACTGTCAGTGTTCTAAGGCTCAGGGAAATAAGAGGGTATGGTGGGCAGGGGGCTCAGGGAAGGTTTCTGTGATCAGCAAAGGTAGGGAGCTTAAAGGGACTTCGGTACCAGTGAGGTTGGCCTAAACCAAGCCATTTGTGGCTGATGTCTCAGTGTGAGGAGAAACAGATAGAAGCAAAGGTCTGTAGGCAAATTGGGAGGTGTTGTCAGTCTAGATCCAATCAGGAGAGAGAAATCACTCAGTGATCTTATCAGAAAAACATAAAAACTCATTAACTATAATAGGGAGTTGGGGTACTAAGGGATTAGTGAATAAAAAGTGAAGAGAACTCTTAAAAACATGGCAATAGCAAAGGTAAAGAGCAGCCAGTACTTCCAGGGCTAAGATGGAGCACCTGAGGGAAGGTCTGCCCTTCCGAAGCAGAGGCCTTTGTTGGCACAGCATGGTTCTTGAATGGCTGAGAAGTCACCTTCGTGTTGCTTGGTGAAAATCTGCCTTCCAAGGAGTGGGGTAGCCAGGCACAGGGAGGTGTCTCAGTGGAGCACGTTGTGTTACAAACTGGTGGCAATGTGGAGTACTGGAGAAGCTATTGACTACACACCACAGAAGGCAGGAGCTGGGGAAGCTGTAGGGGCCACTGAGAGAACCAAAGAAATATATATATATATATATTGGAGAGGTTTTTGCTATAGGGCGTGTGCGCTTGCCAGAAAGACAGAGAGAGACAGAGAGACAGAAAGTGAGAAATCACCCCCCAGAGAGGATGGTCACGCTGCAATCCCCTCTCCTCCATTCTCCTCTCAGGATCTTGGGCACGCACACACACGTGCCTGGCATGAGTTTAAGCCACCAGGTCCAGGACTTGAACCGTGGTCGACTACATGGGAATTCAGTGACATAGCCATTACATCAACTGCTGGTCCCGAGCCCTCCTGACTTCTAAGACAATATGCCCCATGAAAGTAAGTTTTAAATTCAACAATGCCACATCATCTAAATTTGATGCAGCGGAAAGTGTCAGGGCATTAACAACATATAACATCCTCTAGTTGACATTCTCCACTTGGAAGGAAATGCTGAGGTTGGGGGGACACAGTCAGGGTGTCCTGGGCTCTGTGGCAAGATGAAGCCTTGAGGGAATGTTTCCCACCCATCTCCACAGGGCAAATGACAGTGCTTCTTTATCTTTCAGGAGGAGAAGTCGCCAAACCACGGTTTGCTCAATTCTTTCACGGCAGCCTGGCCAGTCTCACCATTCGCCCTGGCAAAATGGAAAGCCAGAAGGTGATTTCCTGTTTGCAAGCTTGCAAAGAAGGGCTGGATATTAATTCCTTGGAAAGCCATTGGAGAGGTTTTTGCTATAGGGCGTGTGCGCTTGCCAGAAAGACAGAGAGAGACAGAGAGACAGAAAGTGAGAAATCACCCCCCAGAGAGGATGGTCACGCTGCAATCCCCTCTCCTCCATTCTCCTCTCAGGATCTTGGGCACGCACACACACGTGCCTGGCATGAGTTTAAGCCACCAGGTCCAGGACTTGAACCGTGGTCGACTACATGGGAATTCAGTGACATAGCCATTACATCAACTGCTGGTCCCGAGCCCTCCTGACTTCTAAGACAATATGCCCCATGAAAGTAAGTTTTAAATTCAACAATGCCACATCATCTAAATTTGATGCAGCGGAAAGTGTCAGGGCATTAACAACATATAACATCCTCTAGTTGACATTCTCCACTTGGAAGGAAATGCTGAGGTTGGGGGGACACAGTCAGGGTGTCCTGGGCTCTGTGGCAAGATGAAGCCTTGAGGGAATGTTTCCCACCCATCTCCACAGGGCAAATGACAGTGCTTCTTTATCTTTCAGGAGGAGAAGTCGCCAAACCACGGTTTGCTCAATTCTTTCACGGCAGCCTGGCCAGTCTCACCATTCGCCCTGGCAAAATGGAAAGCCAGAAGGTGATTTCCTGTTTGCAAGCTTGCAAAGAAGGGCTGGATATTAATTCCTTGGAAAGCCTCGGCCAAGGAATAAAGGTAAGGAGGGAACCAGCATCAGCATCGCCCCCAATAAGACACTGATTTATGAGTCTGAGCTGCCAGCGCCGGAGCAAACCAGGAAATGGAGTTGTTTCCTGTAACTTTGCACAGAAATGGTGCCATGGCTAAGATGCTGCCATGGAGAGATTAACAACTGCGACTTCCACAGTGGCCTTCTGCTGCCACCTCCTGAAAGCCCTGGACCAAGCCCTGTGTTAATCAGGCCACTGTACAACCGTAGGCACATGTGCAGTGTCCACCTGAAGGAAGTTGTTATATTTCACCTGTTTGTGGGTCAGTTGGGGGCTTTGTTGTGTTTTTGCCTAAAGGAACTGATGCATGCAAGTATACGTTTCAAAAACATAAGGAAATAAAAAGTTAGTACCTTATACAATAAAATCTAGAAAGGTGAAAACCTGAGGTAGGGTAGGATTAGAAAGAAGATACAGAGGTCATTGGGTCTTACCTTGTTACATTGAAGCCCAGATTAAGCTCTGAGCAAAGCTGGCCGTCAAAAGGAACACAAACTAATTTATGATTTTTACTGTCCATGCAAAATAAAAATAGTTGAGTGGGGACCAGCAGTTAGCATAATGGCTACGTCGCTGGACTCCCACATAGTCAACTGCGGTTCGAGTCCTAGACCCGGTGGCTTAAACTCACACCGGGCGTGTGTGCATGCGTGCCCAAGATCCCGAGAGGAGAATGGAGGAGAAGGGATTGCGGTGTGGCCATCCCCCCTGGGGGGTGATTTCTCGCTTTCTATCTCTCTCTCTCTCTCTCTCTCTCTCTCTCTCTCTCTCTGTCTGGTGAGCGCACGCGCCCTATAGCAAAAAAAAAAAATAGTTGAGTGATCTAACAGAATCAAAGCTACATTCTGAGAAAAGCTCTGCTGGTAGGGGCAGAGAAGGATGTGACCACATATGGCTTCAGTAAGCACCTCTCCGACAGGCAGGGTTACTTTCTGGCCCCACCTGGACTTAAGGGGACCCTGTGGGCACTGAGACCCTAGGGTCCTGATGAAAGAGCAGAGCCAACATGATTATAACCCCCACTCACTCATCGTAGACCCCAGTGTGAGAAGGCAGCCCCCAGCCTCATCCCTGAAAACCTAGGCAGCCTTCTCTGTGCCTTCTGGGGCCCAGGGCAGCCCCATAACGCCCAGCATCTGTGACACTTTCCCTCTGTGGCCATTGCCCAGGTGCAGTGTGACTTCTCATTCATCCCCTGCCCAGTGCTGCCCTGGGCCTGCCTCTCCTGGGCAGGGAGTCACCTCTCCAGCAGAAATTCCCCTATTAGTGGTTACTGCTTGTAGGACTCTGAGGCTGGGTAGTGTTTTGAGGGATTGATGGTCTGAACATGTCGTGATTTCTTTTTCTTTTTTTAAGAATTATTTTATTTAACTTAATTTATTTAATTTATTTTAACTTGACCAGAGAGGGACAGAGAGAGAGAGAGAAAGTGAGTCACCAGGTCTAGGACTTGAACTGCAATCAGCCATGTGGGAGTCCAGCACCTTAACCACCACGCCACCTGTCAACCCCCATACATGGTTTTCTTAAGTCACAGTCAGTTTAGCAAGCACTCTACTCATGCATATGCATATGTTTGGCTGTGGGCTGGGTACTGCAATATTAAAGTCAGTGTCTTCAGAGAACCCAATGGCCCAGGTGGACATGTACAATTCAGCTGATTGTGGGACCAGCAGATGGCATGATGGTTATGTCTCTGGACTCCCACATAGTCAACTACGGTTCAAGTCGCAGACCAAATGGGTAAAACTCGTGCCAGGTATGTGTGTGTGCATGCCAGAAATCCCAAGAGGAGAAAGGAGAAGGGGAAGATGGGAGTGCTACAGAAGACACAGTAACAAAAGACGAACTTTCCAGAACATTGTTTAACATGGACTAGCCTGCCTCTCTCTCTCTCTCTCTCTCTCTCTCTCTCCCTCCCTCCCTCTCTCTTTCTCTCTCTCACCTTACACACACAAACACACATACACACACACACACACACACACACACACACAAGATATCAATTGCTAATTCCCTGTCATTGGAGGAACCTTACAGGACCACCTCGCCTTGGAAAACCAGTCTTGGCCTGCATTTATGTTGTTTCCTTAGGGTTTTGTCAACACAGTGATGTAAAATTCATCCTTTGACCCCCCTCTCCCTTTTCTCTAATTCTTGACTTACTCCAAGAGTGACTGGCTCTTCCCTGCTCTAGACCAGCTGATGGGGCCACCGTTTCAAAGTTCTAGGTGCTAAAGAACAAATAAGCCAGAGATGCTAAACTTAAAGGCCGCACATTGTCTAGAACCATAAATTAAGAACCACAGCAACTTCTATAGAGTTGTCACAGCCTGTGGAAAGAGGAGGTGCTAAAAATGAGTGCACGAAAACCTGGCACTTGGGAGAGGCTGATCTGACTTCTCCGATACCACCTGCTCATAACCAAGTCATTGCAAACGATCCATCCCTCGGGCATGCCTGATAAGAATTAGAGCACTGTGTGAGAAGTTAATAAGACATACAATTTACAGAGCACCCACGGGGGGCTCTTTTACATTCATTATCCCTACTTCTCACAACAAATTAAATATTATGACCCCGATTCAAAAATAGGGAACTGGGGCTCAGGGACTTGCCCAAAATAAGTTCATGTCTTTCCTTCACACCAGAATTCAAATTGGAAAACATTCTTAAAAATGACTAAAATTGACGTTTTTCCTTTTTTCCCTGCCTCCATTTATCCCTCATGTCACTTCTCAACAAGGACTATTATTTTCTTTTTTTAAATAAAAATAGTTTTGTTTTAATAGTAGCTTTGTTTTTAAAGGTTTTGTTGGTTGGTCTTAGTTTTCTTTTATTTACATTTATGAAACTTTTTAATTTGTATTAATTTTAATTTAATTTTAATCACATTTATATTTATAGTGTACAACATTGCTTTTTCCAGCACAAATACCATGCATATCAGTTAAGATAAAGACACTACTTGCGAACCAGCAGTTAGCATAATGGCTATGTCACTGGACTCCCATGTAGTCGACCACAGTTCGAGTCCCAGACCCAGTGGCTTAAACTCATGCCAGGCATGTGTATGTATGTGCCCAGGATCCCCAGAGGAGAATGGAGGAGAAGAGGTTGCGGCATGGCCATCCCCCCTGGGGGGTGATTTCTCGCTTTCTGTGTCTCTGTTTCTCTCTGTCTTTCTGGTGAGTGCACACGGACCCTATAGCAAAACAAACAAACAAACAAAAAAAAAAAAAAACTTCTTCAAAAAAAAGGTATTACTATATTACTATATATATATTAGCTATTCATTTTTTTGTCACTTAAATGTACTTTTTTTTCTTCTCCTCTTCTCGCACCTCTATTACCTACCCCTGTATTATCTCTATCCTTACTCTCTCTAGTATTTACCATTGCCCTCCCTGCTTCTATATCTTCCAAACTTTCAGTTTCTGATATTGGCTGGAGATGTATGAAGTCCGTCTTTTATAGTCTGTCTTGCTTCACTTAGCATTAAGTCTTCCATATTCATCAGCTTTGTATCAGATTTCAGAGTCTCATTGTTTTTAATGGCTGAGTAGTATTCCATAGAGTACATACGTCACTTTTTTCAATCTACTCATCTATTTTTGGACATTTGGGTTGATTCCATGTCCTAGCCACTGTAAATAATGCTACAATAAACATGGATATGCAAATGTTTTTCTGACTGAGTGTTCTTCTGTCCTCTGGGTAAATGTCTAAGAGTGGAATTACTAGGTCGTATGCTAGTTCCATTTGAAGGTTTCTGAGGAATCTCCAGATCATTCTCCAAAGTGGTTGTACTAATTTGTATTCCCACCAACAGCCTCGCCAGCATTATCATTATTTTTTAATTTTAGCCATTCTGACTGAGGTTAGTGGTATGTCATTGTGATTTTGATTTGCATTTCCCTTATGATAAGATATGTCAAGCACAAAGGAAAAAATAAAAAAGGACCAGCAGTTAGCGTAATGGCTATGTCGCTGGACTCCCACGTAGTCAACCATGGTTTGAGTCCTGGACCCGGTGGCTTAAACTCACACCGGGCGCATGTGCGTGCGTGCCCAAGATCCCGAGAGGAGAATAGAGGAGAAGGGATTGCGGCGTGGCCATCCCCCCTGGGGTGTGATTTCTCGCTTTCTGTCTCTGTCTTTCTGGCGAGCACACGCGCACACCAGAAAACCTCTCCGAAAAAAAAAAAAAAGATGTCAAGCAAGTTTACATATCCTTTTGGGCCATTTGTATGTCTTCTTTGGAGAATTGTCTGTTCAGTTCATTTTCCATCTTTTCATTGGATTGATAGATTCTGTGTGTGTAAACTGCTTTAGTTCCCTGTATGTTCTGGTTATCAGGCCCTATCTGAGGTATAACTTGCTATAATGATACCATTCTGAGAGCTGTCTTCCCACTCTGAAGGTTGTCCTCTCATTCTACTGTTTCTTTTGCTGTGAAGTAGCTTCTCAGGTTAATATAGTCCCATTTGTCTATTTTTGGGACGATCGCCTATGCTTTAGAGGTCTTCCTTTAAAAGTTTTTGACTACTCCAAGATCTCCAAGAGTTTTTCCTGTTTTCCACCAGTATTTTAATAGTTTAAGGTTTTATGTTTAGGTCCAGAAATTTGTCCATCTCATCTGTTACTTTGTTTATTGGCATATAATCAGTCGCTCATAATCTCTAATGATATTTTGTATTTCTGTTATATCCACTGTAATAATGCCTGTTTCCTTGCTGATTTGATTTATGTGATTCCTTTGTTCTTCTTGATTAATCTACCTAATGGTTTGTCAATTTTATCTTCTCAAAGAACTAGCTTTTAGTTTAGTTTACTTTATGTAAAGCTCTTTTATTCTCTATTTCATTTATTTCTGCTCAAACCTTTATTATTTCTTTTCTCCTGAAATTTTTTTTGGTTTTTTTTTGTTGTTGTTGTCTTTCTAGTTCCCTGAGTTGTGTCATT